CCCCCCCGCCCGCGGTCCCGACCCCCCGGTGCCAGGCTCGCCGCGCGGCCGTACGCTCGTGCCGCTCATTGATCGTTATTCCGGATCTCGCATGTAAGGATCCGAACGAGCGAACTAACGAACTAACGGACGAGCGAAGGGAGCAGTCCGTGAGCAACGCGGGAACCCGCCCGCCCGCCTTGTCACCCGGTGAACGTGGAATCGAGGCCTCGTAGACGCCGTGCTCGGGATACGTTCCGCGTCTTTTTCTCGCCGTGGTTTTCATCCCCCTTGACCGGTTTCTTTTTGAGGAAGACGTCCTGTGTAGAAATCTTCCCAGATTTTCCCATATACGGCATAGATTCCGATTGAGGCACCCGGGTTGTTCTCAAATGGGTTATCCCACTGCGATACCTATTAGGAACATCCCATTCTTAAACAAACATGGGACGAAGGCCCCTTTTTCGCGTACAATCGCCAGAATCGAGTGATAATTGCCCTGTTGAATATTTCTGAGCGGTTCCCCCACTGAGAGGTTGATAAACGGAATTACATTTTTTACGTCACTATAAATCTGTTCTAAACTAATATACACTTGTGAAAAGTTATTGAAAAGTTTATGAAGAGTTATCGAAAAGTTTGTGAAGAGAATATTAACTCAAAAAGAGACAGATATACGGTTAAGACTTGGCGGAAGAAAGAAGGAAAAAGAGCCAGTATAAGCTAATGCAGCCAGTCTAGCGAAAAATAACATACTTTGCCGTTTTAATAGCGCGCGTGTGTGTGTGGGTGTGCTGTGTGTATTTGTAAAATGTGAATACTTAGTGTTTCGTATATTTTGTTCGACTCGTAAATAATATGGTAACCACTCAGATAATTTTACAACTTTCGAAGATATAAAGATATCTTTTAGACAAAAAAAACGTCCAAAGAACGTCTTTGAATGTCGTTTAGGCGTTTTTGGGAAAATGTTGGGGATGACGAAATAGGATCTGTTTATGTTTCTCACTTAGAATCGTGTGTCTCAAATATTATATGTCTAACCAGAACCTGCGTGAATTTCCAAACTGAAATCCACAATTATTTTGGGAAATCTGACTGAATCCCAATTAAATTCCAAGACATTTTCTGTACGGATTCAAGCACGCCTGTCGCACGTCGCGAGCTTCATCAACTGTGTCCTCGTGAGTAATCATCGAATAATGAACACATCCGCTCGGATTAAATTCGAATGTGATGAAGAGAATTTTTAACGAGGTTTGGAGAAGGCGATGAAGAAGCTACGAAAAGCTTGCTGACCGTAAAGCCCCTCGTCGTTGATCGTGTGATTTAGAAATTACCGGCTCGTCGGCATTTTCTCCTTGAAAAAAATCGAGTCTGGAAGATTCGAAGAGTTCGATGAAGCTCGATGGAACCAACAAATTTCGAGTCGAAATTTTGATTCTACGATAATCCTCCTATAAGTATTGTTCAACTTGAAGCATCGACAGAGGATCCTGAGATGTAACACTACGCAGTTATTGTTCTACTTTGATGAAGGAATGATTACTCACTTGTTTGTTTGTTTATTTATTTATCTACGAGAACTGTTTTCAGTTGTTTATCGCGTTCTGTGTCACGTATACCGGTACACGTTGAACTCGATCTCACGCCAACTGATATTTTTGTCATTAAGAGACAAAGTACGATAAAATGGTTTGACTTGTCGCTGACGTACTCTGTTATTCGTACTCTGTTCTTCATACTTTGTTATTATGTTTATTTATATCATTTATCTAGCTTCGCATCGCGTACCGTTTTCGGTGGTCTGTATTGAAAGTCACGTAAAAATCGTAACGGAACCCTAACGGTTATGTATTTCTTTATTAATCTACGAGAAGGAATCTTTTGATATAAAAGTTATGGAACGGAAATAAGTTGCAGGTTTAACACAAAGACTAATAATTGAAACACAAATTACAAATTATCAAGATGAGAAAACATGCGAATCAAGCTACATGTAAAAGTATCATCAACGTCTTCTGTTTTCTTTTTTTATTTTCTTTCATGATTTTGCTAAATCTATGATTTTGTTAAAATCTATTCTACCAAAAGAGTGACTGTCATAAATAAGTAAATCAAAAGCATTGTAGGAATTATAGATATACCCGTATTAACGCTTGAACAGATTTATTTGTAATTATCAAAAGACAATAGCTTGCATAGTATTGTGCCTGCAGGTTCTCCATTAATCCTTCGAATCCGACAGAATTCACAGAGTTAACTCCTGATAGAAATTTCATGCATTTTTTGAGCAATACAGGCGGATTATTAACTTCTGTCTAGTAACTGAAGAGTAAAACTGCTTGAGATACCAATCAAGATGTGACGCTATTGAATGAAAACAGAACAGAAAACTATTCAGTTAATTAACAAACAAGTTTGTTGCTCATGAAATGGGCAGTTTTGCCCTGGAAATATCCCTGAATAAAACTCTGTCAATCCATTTCTTACGCAGTACTGTTACAACTAATGAGAATGCATTAACACTAAACAGTAACTGGACGGGTGTCTAGAGAAAATTGCATACATTTCTACCAGGGACGTACAACCTTATAAATCTTGATTCAGGATGCCTCGCCCGGTTTTGTATTATGACTTTTCATTTAGTTTTTCTCCCCTTTCATTATTACCGGTGCGGTACATAACACGTTAATTCATGGAAAAGACAATTCGGCGTGGACAAGCCTGGCCGGCAAATAATTCATCGCGAATCTCGCGCGCACGTGATCGCGCAAATTAAAATTTATTTATAACCTGGAGAATTCGATAATGCA